TGATCTGGCCCCTTTATGCCCCTTTCATAAAGCATAGTGCTTTGTGAAAATCCCAGAGTTCTACCTCACTGGATGGCTGATGCCCATCAGCTTGCTCTAGACCTGACAGCCATGTTAGGATATGTGCTTTGTTTCTATTTTTTTATTTTGTTTTCAGACAAAATTGTAGGAATGTTCCAGCTCTCCATGTTACATCAGTTGCCTTGGTTCTGATACTTGGCCCAATCCTGGATTGGCAGGCCCCGATGAGAGTCAGTCTCTGCTGACAGCCTCCTTATGACTTCTGCTTTCATTCATGTTTTGCCTTTGGTCCCTGACAGCATCTAACTGATGGTTTCTTCTAGGATCAGTCATATCTCAAGCTCAAAGGTCAACCCTGAGCAGTGGTGGGCCAAGATATGCCCTACCGCAAACCGCCATTTGAGATTTTAATTTCTGTGACACTTTTCTCAACCTTCCCAGCAAAATTGACTATCCCCTTACTTATTTGTCTTTAGCACTTTATTTAGAACTCTATGTGAGTACTAATACTTTGAATAACAATTTAAAAATGGTTACATGGATATGAATTTAAACTAATTAAAAAGAACAAATATTTCTTAAGGACTTACATGTTATTTCTGTGAAAAAGCAAAGTTTCTTTCCTTAATGAACCCATACCTGATTTTCATTAATTGAATTCCAAACCATCCTAGCCATGTTTCTCAAGTAGAGTGATCAAATGAGGTTACAAGTGCAAGTCAATAAGAAGGTTATCTTATACAAGTGCCCCCAAATGATTTTAAATTCCTCTGGGTAGCTGTAGAAGTTAGGACCATTAATAATAAAAAAAAAGAATTTCAGAAGATAAGTTTTAGGTTTTCCCCCTAAAACCGTAACTCTCTTCTCCCAATTTCTTAGTATTTTTCAAGTGAATATGCTTTGGTTCAATAGTTATCTATATTAAAGCCATCTAATGTACTTTTAGTCAGAATTATTGTCTTCTTTGGGAAGGCCTGGGTATGATGAGGGCAAGAATTCCTTAGATATAGTTATGGAAAAAGAACTATTTCCTAAAGCAAAGCTACAGGTAAAGCTGTGCTCCAATGAATGTTCAGGAGCCATGATTCAGTGGAAGAGATGGGTGGGGTCTTTAAAAGAAAGGAGTAGAATGGTCACAGATACTGAAGAGTAGAGCCAGAAGTAGATATTGGAAACAAAAGTAGAGTTCCTGCCAGGATGATTATGAAATGGATGTGGGGAGCAACAAGTCCAAAAAGTAAGATGTATTTGTCTCCATGTAATCCATGATAAAAACAAGCCACAACCATTGTTGATTAGAAGACTGAAGGTGATTGAAGACCCACCACTGTGCTTCACCTCCTATAAGGGCCATAACTCATCAATCTCCAGGTGGAGTCAGCAAAAATCTGGGCAGAGTAAGGTTTTGCTAGATGCCAAATTAGATTCAAGGTGGAACTACTTTACTCTGTTTGAAGGGGTAGTGTAGAATACCCTCATGCAGGAGATGGAGACCTCGAAAGGAAGAGGAGTAATGGAGAGATCAAGAGAGAGAAACAATGAGGGACTGTCCAGGTGAATCAATACCATTTGAGAGTATAAATATTGAGGCTAAGTTTCCCTTTTTGTATTACAAAGGACAGTGTTAGGTAAAGGATGTCACAATTCCTAATCCTCTAATGCTGTACTACTTTGGGAATAATTAAACATTTAATGGAGTTAAATGTATATTTGGGGTTTAGGCTGGAAAGGATTGGTGAGGGGTGCCTCAAAAAGGGAGAGACTTCTCTTTTATCTGGGAAAGGGCCTTTCCTGACTTTGAGGATTCTGCTGATCTTTCTTTACCATCCTAACAGTAGGACTTACCACTTTGCCACATTTCAGAGGCCATCCAGGATTTTTGAAAGTTTACATAATTTAAATTTGAGCTAGAAGTACAGTCCAGCCAAAGTCACTGTTTTTTAGCGAAACAGTGCTAAGGGACATAGTGGATAAAGCATAAATGTAGTGGGAGGTAGAATATCACCTAAAGTGAGAGGGATGTTGTAGACAATTTAAGCATCAATACTAGAGACTTTGTGTGGTGGGTGGGTGGGTGGGTGGGTTGTGGCACTAAAAAGTGATGTTTTGAATTTAAGTGTATCTATTGACAGAGGAATGGATAAAGAAAATTTGGTATATACATTTACACACACACACACACACAGGAATATTATTCCACCATAAAAAGGAAATTCTGCTATTTGAGACAACATGGATGGACCTTGGGGGCATATGCTAAGGGAAATAAGTCAGAGAAAGACAAATACTGCATGATCTCACTTATATGTGAAATCTTAGAAAGCCAAACTCATAGAAACAGAGTAGTTAACAATGCAGTATTATATATTCGAAAATTGCTAGGAGAGTAGATCCTAAATGTTCTCACTGCATGTACAAAAAAGGTAATTATTTGAGGTAAGGGATGTGTTAGCTAACATTATGGTGCTAACCATTTTGCAATATATACATGTGTCAAATCATTGCATGGAATACCTTAAACTTACACAATTTTATATATCAATTATATCTTTTTTTTTCTGGGGATTTTTATTTATTTATTTGGTATTAAAATCCACTGGTTCTTGAGTAACACATGAAGTCTGAAAACAATCAACTTTCTTGAGCCTTATTTATTTATTTTTATTTTTATTTTAAGTAATTTTTTTTTGGTAGCTTCAAGTTTTCATTTAAATTCCAGTTAGTTAACATATAGTGTACGATGAGTTTCAGGAGTAGGATTTAGTGATTCATCACTTACATATAACACCCAGTGATCATCACAACAAGTGCCCTTCTACTCCCCATCACCCATTTAACCTGTCCCCCTGCCCACCTCCTCTCCAGCAACCATCAGTTCTCTGTAGGTAAGAGTCTGTTTGTATCAATTATATCTTAATAAAGCTGGAAAAAAAATAAAGTCAAAGTGGCTGTTTCTGACAAAAGTTTGTAGTATTGTACAAATTCAGCCAGCATCCATCTATTTAATAAAATACTGAGAGGAGTATTATGGTGGGTGATGTGTAAGTCTGTGTCTTTTTTAGAAAGCTAAATTTAAAGATTATATGTTGCTTTTTCATAAAAAATGCAAGTTCATATTGAATAAAACAAAATTGATTGAGAGACTCAAGAAAGCCCCCAGATGCTTCAGAGACCAGCTGACGAGTAATCATCTTGAAGTGACCAAACTCAATCTGATGCTAAAGTAGTTACTTGATAGCATAGCTGATTGAAGTCTTCATTGGTGTTGTAAAAGCTGGGAGAATTTGGTTCCCAAATCCCATCCCAAATGTGGTGAGTCTCTGGGCCAATTTATAGAGAGCAGATTTAAGTAGATCTGATTTTTGCCATCAATCTGAGCAAGATGGAAACTTGTATACTAGCTGCAAATCTTTGCAAAATCTTGTTCTGAGTTGGAGAAAATGCAGACCACTGGGGTCAACCAGACAATGGAATTAGGATTATGGCCAATATCCAGTTGCATGCCCCCCCACTGCTTTCCCAACACAGCTCACACAATGGATTTGAGCTGTTCTAGACTCCAGGATAGGAATGACAGTGGAAGCAAAACTGCAGGTAGAGATTGTAGGAATGGGGGTAGAGATGGCAAAGAAGAAGAACAAGCTATGTTAAATAATGGTGTGTAAATATAATTGTCAAAGTTATTAAAACAATTGATTTCTTTTGAGAGAGAGAGAGAATGCGCATGCACAAGCAGGGAGGAGGGGGAGGGGCCAAAGGAGAGGGGGAGAGAGAGAGAGAGAGAGAATCATAAGTAGGCTCCATGCCCTGCGTGGAGCCCCATGTGGGGCTTCATCTCACCACCCTGAGATCATGACCTGAGCCGAAATCAAGCCTCAGACAACTAACCAACTGAACTACCCAGGCGCCCTCCAACACAGGTTTTTAGATGGGACCTATCACACCTCTGAGCTCATGTGAGGGGCTGGTGTCTTCCAAAAGCTCAAGGAAGGGAGAGCTGGGAATATTAATTTCTGGAAGGTGCTTGTTTATTCAAATGCTACCATTTATGAGCAAGGGCTACCTGAATTATTGGATTATTTGTGTGTGTAGAGGAATGAGAGGCAGGTTTGAAACTGTGTCTTCAATGCCAATTCTACAGGCTCTCTTAGAAGAAGATGAGCTAAGTACAGACTACCAAATGATCTCTTCTACCATCTCTATGTCTTGTTTCTTTATTATTAAGGAGTTAAGCCTTTTTTATTTTCATTCCATTGATGATACAAGCAATTCGTCAAACATGAAGATTCCTGGTTTCCTTAGTGAAGTGACGGCTGTTTGCCGAGCGAGGTTAGGCCCTCCTGCTTCAGTCTGAGTTCTTGAGATGGTCTGCAAAATGAGAAAGAATCTCCTGCTCTTTTAAGTCAGGGAACAGTGGGAGGACCTGACCATGGCAGGGTGTGCAGATGGTGGTGACATGGTCCTCAACACTTGCTGATCTCCAAAAGCCTTCTGTTTTACCTCAGTTGATTCTCTGTTTGGGATTGCGGCTCCTCTGTCATAGCTAGTCAGAAATCTGTGGGTTTTTGCTGAAATCGGCCTGACCCCCAGCAGCACAGAAAACAGAGGACCCTGATGAGAGTAAGTTGATAGCAGAGAAGTGGATGAATTTGAGGCATGTGTCCTGGAGTTGGAATTGACAGCTGTTTTTTTGTATTTCAACATACAGAAACTGAATATTTCTTTAAAGAAGTCACTTAAAAATCTAGTGAGCTGTGAGGTTTTCTTCTCTCTGACTTCAATTCTTTGATTCTCCTAATATTTTTATTTGACTCGACTGTGAAAATTTAACTGGTTCAGTTCCTGTTCCCTGGCAGGAGGAGGCTGGCACTCTGCCACGTGGGCTGGGCCTTTACTATGGTTCAGTCTCCTTTTCTCGGAGTCCCTGAACCCTGGAAGTTGCTGAAGAAATTTATGTGCCTATTTCTGTGTCTCCTTAGCTGTCCAGACAGAGCAGCTACACTCAGCCTCAGTCCTTGTACAGGTTCTACAAACAGGTAAGTGACTTGCTGCTTTCCACTTTTCCTAGGCACTTGCAAATAGTAGTCTTCCTTTTTAATTAAAAAAAAATCATTTAGAATGAAAAATTAGTTAATGATTTTTTATGCTATCTGCTCATCCTCTCTTTACTCATCTTATGTGTAATGTAGAGTAAGTAAGAGGCACAAATGCAAGCTTTGTGACAGTATATGTTCCCTGTTTTTCAATATTTAATGGAAAATATATTTGATTTTCTCCTGGATTGAGAAGCATGGCAGTGACACCTCGTTTGACGGGGATGCAAGAAAAGAAGCTGCAAAATTATTTTGGAGGAAAATAATTTACCCTTCTCTATAAACCTAATGTCCATGAATTCTCTGGACATAATTTTGACAGAAATGCTGTGACCAAGGGCCTACTGTGATGGTGATTTATGGTGAACATTGTGTTTTGGGGGCCTATATAAAAGAGAGTTACAAGAAAGATGACAAAGTTCCCATTGTCCTTCTTGCCTTTCAAGAGAATGAAATTTCAGAATGCAATATAGGAACATATTCACCGTCTATATTTCTTCATGAATATCATAAAGGGTGGGATGCTTTCAAATTCCTCCTTAATCTGAAGCAAAAAAAGTGACTATGAACTTAGATGCAGTTAAAGAACTTGGACTACTTCAAAATCAATCTATTTCCTTTGAAGAATGTGAGGTTTTTTATTGTGAAGATAGATTTAATCTGATAATCTTATATAGCGCTCTCTCCTGAATGTTTGGCGGATTTGAGGCAACCCATCTCTTTAAGGAAGAATGTCCTTATCTCTGGGTGACCAAGACTGAAACCTGGCCACACATGTTTGCTGAGACCCAACCGTGGTCAAAAGTAGCATATATAGAGTTTTCTGGAGTGTGTTTGTGTGGGGGAAGGGGTAGGGGAGGGGGAGAAAAGGTAGAAGGAGAAGGGCGGGGGAGAGAGAGAGAGAGAGAGAGAGAGAGAGAGAGAAAGGGGCAGCAAACTTAGATTGTGAGATTCTCTTGGAATGAAACCAAAGCCCAAACTTCTCTTGATTGGTACTAGATCCTGAAGTTTCCCATTGTATCCATTATATTAAAAGACCAAAATGAATTTACTTATTTTTCTGCTAAAGGACATTGTTTCCAATATTTGCTGTTATAAACAATGCTTTTGTAATGTATTCGTGAATATAACTGTGCACAAAAATACTTCTTTTAACCAACTGAGCCACCCAGGTGCCCAAAGATTTTATTTATTTGAGAGAGAGAATGAGAGAGAGAGAGCAGGAGAAAAAATACTTCTTTTATACTTTCCCAAGAGTGTTATAGAAATGCCTATTCCCTTATCTTCTTGCCAATATTTGATATTACCAAACTTTGGAATATTTGCAATTTGATGGTCAAAAGATGGTTTCTCATTTTCTTCTTTGCTTATTCCTGATTACTAGCAAGTCTATGTGTATTGGCCATTTACATTTCTTCTCTGAAATAGTTATTTATGTCTAACAATTTAAAGGAAGGGACCCTAGGAATAATATCCCCTGAGTATTTTTATGTTCCAAACTCCTTGTCTGTGGTCTTTATACTTGAATGATCATCAGAGTATGTAATTCTTTGGGGGATTTTGTAATGTTTCTACAGGATTGATGTTGCTGTGGAAAACCTAGGGCCAGACTTACTTATTTATTTTAATTTTTTCCCTTTGAGTGATTTGATCTTTCTTCCTGGCTGCCCCAAACATCTAAAAAAATTTTTGTTGATGTCTGGTCAATTTACTTGGATATGTCATCATGTTGACAATCCTGGATCAGTTAAGGAAACTTTTTATTGAAGTATAACACATAAACAGAGAAATGCACAATTGATAAATGTACCAATTGACAAACTTTTATAAATTAGACACATATTAATATAGCTACTACTTTGATGAAGAAATAGATTATTATCATCATTTCAAAAGACTCCTTGCTGATTCTTCCTGGTTATTACCAGCCAAAGATAACTATTACTTTGGCTTGTGTCGACATTAATAACTTCTTCTTTTTGAATTCTATATAAATGGAATCATATCAAAATATGTACTCTTGGGTGTCTGACCTCTTACATTCAATATTACGTTTGAGGGATTGAGCTAAACAAGGGAGTGGATTATAAAATCAGACCTCTACAAATCAGATATCTTACGCAGTATTAGGTTTGACTAATCATTTCAAGGATAAAGGCAATCAGAAATCTCAGAGAAGGCAGAAAGGGTACAAGATTATTCTTTGTGGCTCCTAGGTCCTTCCTTTGCATATTAGACATATGCTTTCTGTATAAAAGAACAGGCAGGATTGTTTTATGAAGTTTGTGGGCCACCTTACGTATTGAAGAGTGGTTACGTTATGGAACGTTTATATGTCAGTGCTATAGACTGAATGTGCACCCCCCACCCCAAACTCATATGTTGAAGCCCTAATCCCCAATGTGACTATACTTGGAGATGGGGCCTCTAAGGAAGTAATTAAGGTTAAATGAGGTAATAAGAGTGGGGCCTTAATTCAATAGGATAAGCGTTCATATAAGAAGGGACACCAGAGAGCTCACACTCTCCCCACGAACATACAAGGAGGGGTCATGGGAGAGCACAATGAGATGGCAGCCACCTGCCAGGAAAGAGAAGAGGTTTCAGGATGAAATCTACTTTGCTGCACAGTGATCTTGGACTTCTCAGCTTCCAGAACTGTGAGAAATAAATTTCTGTTGTCCCAGTTCATGGTATTTTGTATGGCAGCCTGAGTCGACTAAGACAATCAGCTCACATGACAATTCCCATGAAGACATGCCTCATAAATCCATAGAAGCTATATTTATTTATTCTAAGTAATCCTTAGCCAGGAGCATCCTGTTAAGGACATTCAAGAGGTAAGTACTTTCCTTGTAGGAAATATCATTAGTCTATTTAGCTGGAGATAAGATCATTAGCATATTTTCAAAGAAATTAGGCTGGGTCATTTTTCTTTTTTTCCCTGAGTGTTACTTGGTAAAGTGAGTGAATGCATCTCAGGAGATCTGCTTTAGCTCCCTACCTCCCTACTGATTCATCCATATTATGTGTGTTGGAGTCATTTGTTCATTTTCATTGTCATATAGGATGCCAGTATAATGATTCCATCATACCTTTTTTTTTTTTTTTGAAGTAGGCTCCATGCCCAGTGTGGAGCCCAACTCGGGGCTTGAACTCAAGACTGTGAGATCAAGACCTGAGCCGAGATCAAGAGTCAGACACTTAACTGACTGAGCCACCCAGGCGCTATTTTAAAAAAAAACAAAAACCTGCTTTTTTTTTTTTACATAAAATTACTGTTGGTGGACATTTGAGTTTTCCAGTTGGGGGCTATTACAAATAATAGTGCTATAAGCCTTCTTGTACATGTGTTTTGGTTCACACATTCATATTTTTTGACGAATATAAATATAAAATTTCTGGGTCATCGGATTTGTGTATGTTCAGCTTCAGTGGATACTGACAAAGCTTTCCAATGTAGCCCTACCAATTTCCACTGCCAGAGCAGTGCATGAGAGTTTCTGTCACTTTTAAAGTTTTCCCAGCACTTTTCGTTACAATATGTAGCCATTCTGGTATGTGAACTGTAGCATGACATTTTGTGAATTTGGTTTTCTTTGATTAGACTAGTCAGTAATTTATTTATTTTATAGTTTAAACCAATTACTATATTAATTTATCCTATTTTCAATTTATAAAATCTGTCTGGTATTTTTGTTAATTCCCTCTTATATTTCTAAAGTTTGTTTCTGTATTCTTTTCTGTTTCTATTTTCTATTTTCAAAACTTTCCTTCTTTCTTGTTATTAGCCAAGTGTACTTTTATCACAAGGTTGATATAAAGTGTTTATATTATTGTTATTTTCTTTATATTTACAATTTTGATTTTTAATTTCCTTTTGGATGTTAAAGTTAAGAAGTTCTTTGAAAAATTCCAAGAGGTTGCTTTTCTCTTTGTTTACACTTATTCTTTTCTCGTTTTATTATAGTCATTGTATGTAGTCTTTAGTATTTTTACTTTCGGTTATTTAAAGAGGTTTTCTTTCCACATGTATAGCCATATTTTTAAATGTTTCACATAGTATTCTTTTGTAGTGTAGAGAATTGCCAGCATCACTACACCTGATCCTTTCAGGTTTTTTTTTTTTAAGATTTTATTTATCATGTATTTATTTTAGAGAGAGAGCCTGAGTGAGTGAGTGGTGGGAGGAGAGGGAGAGAGAATCCACAGCAGACCCAATGCTGAGCATGGAGCCCAACGCGGGGCACAGAGCCTGACCTGGGCTCAATCCCACTACTGGGAGATCATGACCTGAACAGAAACCAAGAGTTGGTCACTCAACCCACTGAGCCACCCAGGCACCCTGCAGCTGATCCTTTCAGTTTTAAATCCACCACCAAAGAGTGTCTCTTCTCAGGAAGTAAGTCATTCTGGGCCTGAGTCTCATTGGTTCACATAAAGTCCTCAGGCCTCCCCTGAACCACTCACTGTGCTCTGACTGGGTGAGGGATGAGTCCTACATTCTCTTCGGAGCCAGAAAGAAAATCAACTGGGCTGGAAGTTCCAGGAACCCCAATTGTAGATATAGGTTTTGGAGAGAATTTGGTGCTTGTGGTTTTTTTCTTGTTTGTATGTATCTGTACCTTATCCCTTTCAGACCTCTTGGATTATGGAGAGGAACTGTTTTAAGTTTTTCCCTGGCCTGTCCACGCCTTTATGCCTTGCTTCTCTGATTCAGAAAGGACCCCAGTTCTCATTGCCCATGTTGGAGCAAGCCACATACTACTGCTGAGTAACTGGGTTAGAAGAGATCTGTGGACAATCTAGTTTTACCGTGCCCATCTTGCCTCTAGCTCTAGATTCTCCACATGAGATGTTAAGGAGATTTGCCAGAATTTTCTCCACTTGCTTTCCTTATACTCTGCTGTTGTCATGGAAGAGCTATTTCTGTCTTTTTCCGTAGTGACTGCGTTGACATTCAGTTAGCCAGTCATTCAACAACTTGTACTTTTCATTTTTCTTTGATTATTTCCCTGTATTTCTTGGACGAAAGAATCATGAAAGGGATTACTCAGTAAGTCAATGTTTTTAATCTTCTGTTATTCTGTTTATTATCTTAGACTTATTCTTTTATAGGTTCTGTCAAATTGGTAGCACAGATTATAACATAACTTGTGGATCATCAAGAATAAACTATAGTTATATTTATAATCATAAGACTATTTGATAATACCAGTGTTAAAACAGAAAGAACTCTGAGTAAAGGGAAAACATTCCTATGTTTTTATATACTTGAAGGAAAATAATTATTTGGCTGCATGTCTACATTTTTGCTTAGACATCTTGAAGTTACCGTTTCAACTACTTTAGGGAATTGCTTTGGAAGGGGTGGCTGGTAGGTGGAGAATACTTACATGAACTTCAAGAACATGTTGGAAATTATCCACTTCCATAAACTTCAAAAGTCACATGTGATGTTGTGCTTTTTGAAGTTTATTGTTAATAAGTTATCTTCATACTTAACACAGTTCATATTTATTACAAGGTTTATATGTGTCTGGTTGCTTAAACCTGGAAGGTTTTATGTCTGATTGGCTCTGTTTTAAGTGTTATTTTTGCTTTTTTCTTCTTTTATAGTAGGTTTTGAAGTCCTTTTAACAGGAAAGCAAGTTGCTAATCAAAAATAAATAATAACATATAAGAAAAGAAAACGAATTCTAGGAAAACTTATGGTAAGCTCTTGTGATCTACCCTCGGTCAATTTTTAAAATTGTCCTGTCTAAACAGACTCCACAAGAGATTATTGTTTGACATGAAAACTTACAAACCACATAAAGACCTCGTTCACCAAAGCAGATTCTGTTCCTGGGTCCAAATGGGGCTGGGAAGTCTAGCTTTTTCAACTCGGTAAAATCTGTTTTCCGAGGCCATGTAACACACCAGGCTCTGGTGGGCTCTGATACAACTGGAGTATCTGACAAGGTATGTCCATTCAAGGTCACTCAGCCTTTGCTTCTTTGTTCAAGTTAATTAGTTTTGAAAAGTCTTTTGCTGATGGACTTCATTCCACGTAGACTTTATCTCCATTTGCAATTAAAAAAATGTACTCTTAAAATTGCTTTTTTTCTCCTCTTGTAGTACAGGACATATTCCATTAAGGATTTGAAGGATGGCAACACCCGACTGTTTATTCTGTGTGACTCAATGGGGCTGGGTGAGAAGGAAAAAGGGTGCGTGGATGACATAGTCTACATCTTAAAAGGCCACATTTCTGACAGATACCAGGTATGATTGGGCTAATCATTGAGAAATTATAACTGATATTTAAAATGTTTGTTTTTGCTCACTATTGACAACAGCCGATACTAGTCTAATTTAATGCATTACCATTTATTTTCTTGAACTATACTTGTTCAAGGTCATTTGTTCCTTTTTGATATTTTATTTTACAAAGAATTAAAACATCCAAAAGACTCTTCTGTCATAGCTGTCATAACAACTCTGAATGTTGTTATATATTCAATTGCCTTTGGCTATGTGAAACAGAAATCCAATACATCAATTTACTCACATAGGTCATTTCTCTTATGTAACAGAAGTCTGAATGTAGGCAGCTTTGGGTCCGTGTGGAAGCTCTCTGAGGTTATCAATTTCAAGGGTCCTTCTCACTTTCTCTTATGAGACCCTCAGTATGGGGTGCTTTGTGTCCCCCTAAAATTCACATGCTAAAGCCCTAATCCCCAGTGTGGTGGTATTAGGAGGTGGGGTCTTTGAGAGGTGATTAGGTCATGAAGGTAAATCCCTCATGAATGGGATTAGTGTCCTTACAAGAAGAGATAGGGGAGAGATGATGTTTCTCTCTGCCATATGAGGACACAGCAAGAAGGTAGCTGTCTACAAATCAGGAAGAAGGCTCTCATCAGACACCAAATCGGCTAGCACCTTGATCTTGGACTTTCTAGGCCTCAGAACTGTAAGAAGCAATTTTTGTTCTTTATGGCACCAAATATGGTAATTTGTTATAGCAGCCCAAGCTGCTTTAGTCAGTATACCTGACTAAAACGTGTGGCTTTCATCCTTACGCTCTCCAGATGTTCACACTGAGCCCTGTCTGTGGTCTAGGCAAGAGGAGCGGGGATTAAAGAGAAAGCCACTTTAGTTTGTCACTTTTTAAAACTTTCTAGTCTTTTTTATAGACATTTAGATTTTGAATTAATCATTAATTTACTTTGTTCCAAATGAATAGTCAATTGTGCCAGCATCTTTTGTTGAATGTCTTTGCATCTTTTCCCTACCAAATACAGGGATTGGTTTGTTCTATTGATGTATTTATCAATTCCTTTATGATATTATTTTTATTACCATATCATTTAATTTTTTTTAATTACCATAGCAATCAACTATGTTTTGATACCTCACTGGACAAGTCATGCTCATTATTTATTTCTTGCATTTGTTTTTCTTGACTATTTTCACAATATACTTTTCCAAGTGAGCCTGTTTGTGTTTTGATTGTTTGTGTTTGATTTGTTGGTGCTTTGATTAAAATTACATTAAAATTTTATATCAAAATTTGATTTACATCTTCACATATCCAGTGTTCTTATCCAGAAACACAGCATGTTTTATTTTTCTATTCATGCAAGGGCTTTTCATTCTTTAGTATAGCATTGTCTTGTAGAGGTAAAGTTTATTTTTAAATATTCTTTTTTTAAAAACAACTTTATTATAGAGAATTTTAAACTAATGCAAAAGTAGACAAAACTATTTAATGAATTCCCATTTACTCAGCTTCAACAATTTTTGACTCATGGCCCATCATCTGTGTCTATCCACTTTCTCCTTTCCTGTATTACTTGGAATCGAATTTAATACATCATAACATATAATCCATAAATCATAGCAAGTACACCAAAACTCTGATGACAAATACCTAACCCACCCTTACTAATCAACTAACACTTACCCAAACCACATGCAATTAGTTTTGGTGTACTGAAATATAGTCTAAAGTCAACTTTACAAAATAAGGCATAGTCAAAGAATCCATTTTCTTTCTCTGGCCCTTCAAATACATTTCTTCCCTTTTCTTATAAGCAACCATATAACAATTTATAGTTTACTTTCCTTTTTCACTACATAAGAAAATACTTACAGATTTGTGGTTCTCCTCTTTTTAGAGAATTCACCAAATACTCTATGTTATTGATATATTAGAATCTTGCCACTACAAATAGTCCTGAAGTTGATAGGCTTGCACATGCATCATTTTGTATTTTTGCCAGTATACCTGTGACAGATTCCCAGCAGAGGGACTGCTAGTTCAAGAGTAAATGCATCTCATTTTGAACTACTTTCGGCCCTTACATTCTGTGTGATGATACCAGATTTCTTTCTGAAAGCTCTCACCTCCACCACATTACTTCTATCTAGAACACTTTCGTCCATATGCTCATTCCCTTTAGCAGACTAACTCCCCCTACTTTGTAGCTCCCAGATTACTTGTCCCTTTCTTGCAGAAACTTTACCTGACTGCATGAATGGGCTGCTAGCTACTTGCATAGACTGTCTTCTCTACCGGATTGTTAGCCTCATACTATCAGAGACTTGCACACTGTCTGATACATAGTATGTGTTCATGAATATCTATGGAATTAATATGTTGCTTTATGTTTACCTTACAGTTTAATTCCACGAAACCAATCATACCAGGTCATAGTAACTATATTGATTACCCATTGCTGAAGGACAGAATCCATTGTGTGGCATTTGTGTTCGACATCAACTCTGTTGAATACCTCTCTTGTGACATGATGCAAAGATCAAAAAAATTCAAAGGGAGTTGATAAAGTGTGGTGAGTCTCATTCCACTTTGCTATTAAGGGTAATTAATTAGACTATATTATAGATTGATTTTAGAACAGGATGAAAAATTTGAGAAATTGCATATATGAATCTTCCCTGGCCCATCAGTGTGGTTCAAGCAAATCAAGCACTTGATAGCTGTATGACTTCGTGCCATGACCTAAACTCTCTATGTCTCAATTTCCGAATCTGTAAAATTAGTATAACAATAGCACCTATCTCAGAAATTTATTATAAGGATTAAACAAATCAATATATTTGAAGAGTTTAACACAGTCTTCACCACCTGCTACCACTGTATCCTAACATGAATTAATTTGCCAAAAGTTCTAGATTTCCCCTTGGGCCTTAAATGATTAGAAATGGAAAACAGTATTTCAGTAAGAAAACGCGGCAGGGAAGTAAGATGTTAGGTAGGGCAGGGTAGCATAAAGGCTTTGGAGAAGGTAAACAGGATCGGGGAATTAAGGTGCCCCATACTGGCTTTTCTTGGCTTTATTCCCCTTTCTGTCTGGGAGAGAGCCAGTTTATCACAACTCTGGTTAAGTTAGAAGCATGGAGTGATTTACTTGCTCACTGAAATTTGAAATTTTGCCAGGGAGGGGTGCAGGGAGCTGGCTGTTAACTTTGTGACAGAAGAGCAATGTATTTGTGATGCTTTGACACATGCTATTTCCTTCTTGAGGATTCTTCTCCCCCATCTTGTTTATGAGATCTCTTTTCTCTAGTCTGCATAAAAACAACCGTTTGGGCAGGACAGAAGACCAATCAACAATATTGTAACATCAATAGCTTTCTCTTTAGCTATCTCTTCCAAGAGGTGGCTTCATTTGAAGACTCATTTCTTACCATGGAAAGCAATGAAGGGAATTTCCTATGTCAGACGAATTCCAGGTACTGATGAGTACTTGAGCGGGCTATTTTTAGGGGCGGTGGGCCTCCCCAATTCTCTGAAATTGCTCCATAGATACCCTGTTGCATAATTTATAGCTGATTAACTAAAACATACTGATGCTGTCTTTCTTTCTTTCTTTCTTTCTTTCTTTCTTTCTTTCTTTCTTTCTTTCTTTCTTCTTTCTTTCTTTCTTTCTTTCTTTCTTTCTTTCTTTCTTCTTTCTTTTTCTTTCTTCTTTCTCTTTCTTTCTTTCTTTCTTTCTTTCTTTCTTTCTTTCTTTCTTCCTTCCTTCCTTCCTTCCTTCCTTCCTTCCTTCCTTCCTTTCTTTCTTTCTTTCTTTCTTTCTTTCTTTCTTTCTTTCTTTCTTTCTTTCTTTCTTTCTTTCTTTCTTTCTTTCTTCTTTCTTTCTTCTTTCTTTCTTTCTTTCTTTCTTTCTCCTTTCTTTCTTTCTTTCTTTCTTTCTTTCTTTCTTTCTTTCTTTCTTCCTTCCTTCCTTCCTTCCTTCCTTCCTTCCTTCCTTCCTTCCTTTCTTCTTTCTTTCTTTCTTTCTTTCTTTCTTTCTTTCTTTCTTTCTTTCTTTCTTTTTTCCTTCCTTTCTTTCTTTCTTTCTTTCTTTCTTTCTTTCTTTCTTTCTTTCTTCTTTCTTCTTTCTTTCTTACTGATACTGTCTTTAATGATCAAAGTGAAATGTATCTGTTCGGCCTAGGTGTAGCACATGTGGTTTTGCTCACTCATGTGGATAGAATGGATCTGATTACAAGAGGTGACCTTAGAGACATATACAGATGTATGCCTGTGAAGCTCAAGGTAATGAATGATGTTCCTCTTTGTAGACACATTTTCTGGGATATGTCACTATAATCACATGATATTACTGTGAATAAAAATAAAAATGGACACCTACTGAACTTAAGAATTAAAACAATTGCTTGGGTAATTCAGACTTATGTCTCAAGATTTAAAAATTAAATATATATTCATTTTTACAAGGACACAGATCATTCCATTCATTATAATTTAACCCAAATAGGTTCAATTCAACAAATATTTATTGATTGCCTGTCATAATTGAGTCAGTGTGATAGTCTCTAACCAGATACGCAGAAAACTAAAACAATTTCTCTGCACTCAAAAGCTTATAATTTTATTAGTGGAGGTGAGGGGATGGGGGGAGTGGGATAGGAAAGAATTGACAGAGTATGAGTATGATAAATCTCACGAAGGGACTCAAAATCAAAAGTTTAGAGGAGGTGGGGAGCTCGGGTGGCTCAGATGGTTGAGCGTCTCCTTTGGCTCGGGTCATGATCCCAGGGTCCCAGGATTGAGCCCTGCGTCAGGCTCCCTGCTCAGTGAAGAGCCTGCTTTTCCCTCTCCCTCTGCTGTTCTCTCTTCTTGTGCTCTCTGGCTCTATCTCTATGTCAAATAAATAAATAAAATCTTTAAAAAAAAAGTTTAGAGGAGGAAAATATTGTGTTAAAGGGGATGGGGAAGATTTCATTCCTGGAGTGTCACTGGGAAATAGCTTTCAAAGAGGAGGAGGATTTCAGGAGGTGAAGAGACAAAATGCGGAAAAAATTCAGGCTATGAGGATAGCCTAAGTCAATACCTCAGTGTAGGAAGAGGCAGTGTGAGTGGGAAGCATGGGGTCATTCAGTTTAGTGGAGGGCTGAATCTTTGTAGGGGGAGATAGAGAAGTTATATTTGCATGAGGTGACTTTACTTAATTAGGTGCATTATGGGGAATCATAGCAATTTTTTTCTCTTAAGTTTTTATTTAAATTCCAGTTAGTTAACATACAGTGCAATATTAGTTTCAAGTGTATAATATAGTGATTCAACATATCCATATATCACCCAGTGCTCATCACAACAAGTGCCCTCCTTAATCCCCATCACCTGTTTCCCCCCATCCCTCCCACCCCTTCCTCTCTGGTATAACCTTCAGTTTGTTCTCTATAGTTCAGAGTTTATCTCTTAGTTTGTCTCTCTCTCTCTCTGTCTCTCTTTTTTTTACCCTTTGCTCATTGGTTTCTTAAATTCCACATATGAGTGAAATCATATGGTATTTGTCTTTCTCTGACTTATTTCACTTAGCATAATACTCTCTAGCTCCATCCATATTGTTGCAAATGGCAAGATTTCATTCTTTTTGATGGCTGAGTAATATTCCATTATATATATGTATACACACACACACACCACATCTTCTTTATCCATTCATCAGTCAATGGACACTTGGGCTATTTCCATAATTTGGCTATTATAGATAATGCTGCTATAAAAAGTAGTGATATAACCAAACTGAAGCTTCACAAAAATTAATCTGCTACCTACATGCAGAATGAATTGAGTCAAAAGGAACCTGGACTTGGGAATACCAGTTGGGAAGATGTAATGATAGCTAGTATTTGTTGAGCACTAAATATGTGATAAACTTTCTTATTCAATACTTACAACAACCTTGTGTCATTACCACATTTTATAGATGAAGAAACAAAAGCATAAAGTAAAGCATTTGCCAGTGTTTTTGACAGTGACGAGAAATAACAGAGCCCTATTTTGAACCCAGACAATGTCATTCCCAGATAAAGTAGTCTAAGCAAGAATTAAAATATCATTATTAAACTAGTCTAGTAAATTTGACTAATTCATGAGAATAACTCTTAATAGGAAACAGGGAAATTACAGATTCTAGCATAAGGGTATTAAAAATGCTTCAGTTTCAAAGTAATCTATATGGAACTATTAGTTACCTTTCATTTCTAAATCATATGGAATCTATTATGTGCATTCTTGATGAAAATTCATAGTGATATTGGAGATTGACTTGTGAAGCTCTTTAAGAAAGTAATTTATGGGATCAGATCTCTATCTTCATTTTCCCCAATAGGAATACTATTGCCAAGCTCCTGCTTTTTGTTATTGCTTTCACAATATATATTGACCTAAAATAGTCTTTGTCACTGTTTCTATATTGCAGTTAGAGACCGTCCACAGAGAACTTGGATTTGCTCTTTCTAACATCTTGGTGGTTAGTAATTACACTTCAGAGTGGGAGTTGGACCCCATAAAGACATTCTGATCCTCTCTGCACTGAGACAGACGCTGTGGGCTGCAGATGACTTCTTAGAGGATTTGCCTCTTGAGAAAACAGGTAGATGCATTTGGTGGTATCGACATTTGAAGGTGTCCTGTATGGCTATTCCTGCTTGGATCTATTGGGTATGTGGCAGTTCACTGTGTCACTGTAGGTTGCGGTCTTGTGAGTAGTCCTCCCCTTTAATTAACTGGCTGGATGTGTTTTTTTCCCCTCACATTTCCTGATTTCCCACACTTAGGGTACATCTTAGAGAATTTGCACTACTTCTGTTTCCCCCATGTCTTAAGATAGAATCTTTGAAATGATGCACCTCTGTCATTTCTACTGTCTGAACACCCCAAGTTGTATCCTTGCCCTCTTCTCTCAAAAAATATGCTTCTTTGCTTGTGACCAGAAATGGATTTGATCAGCGTTGTTCCTGATCAGATGTGATCTTTGATTACTTGCTGCTTTCTTGGGACCTATGTTTTTGCCTTTTTTGCCTTGACTTTTTTGACGTGTCTCCCGCCTCAGAGTTTCTCTTAATGCCACGTGGTCAGTGCTAGGTAGATGTATGTGCCTTTCATATTTATGGCCTCAGATTTTAGCATTACATGTATTCTCTCTCAAATTCTCTCAAGAATACATGCTGTACTGTTTCAATCAAAGATCAGACAGAAGTTTCAATTTATACTCAAATCTTAGTTTGTGAGAAATCAAATTAGAATATCATATCCTCTTTATTCTCTCTCACTTGCAAACTGCTAAGAAACTCTCAGGTTACTACTGACTCCACCATCTTGGTTTCTCCATGTCTTCTCTTCTTCATGGAGCATTCACTCCCAAAGTCAGGGCTGGTTGGCTTAGACCCTCCAGTAGCCCAATGTTCCTCCTCCTTCTGGTTGCTTTTCCCTAGATTATCCAGTAAGAATATTTTGTTTCTCTTTTCTCAGAGATCAAAGAAAAGGAATAATCAAGTGTGTAAAAGAAGGAAAAAATATGTGAACCCTTCACATACTAATAATATTTATCTCATCATAGAAGATTGAAAATTGAGAAATAAGAAAACACAGGAAAAAGAGAAGTAGCTGAAACAGAAGGGACATGTTTTATTTATGTCTGGGATGAAGATACATATATAAAATCATAATACCTGCAACTAATGAGGAACAGTGGGCTTTAAAGCCATTAATGGTGAGAAAAAATGATCATAATTTTTTTGGATTTATGTTCTGTATCTGTGAAAATTGAAAGTTTCTGTTTAGAAAATCTGAATTTAACTTGTGTGTGTGTGTGATTTTGGAAAAGTTTATTTTAATTTGTCAGCATCTTCTGGTCTTCACCTACATCATCTTAATTTTGTCTTCTTGTTTTATTTCTAAAGTATTTGATCTTCTCTTTGGGTCTCCAGTTAATGTTATATTCTTTAACCTAAAGCCATTTTTTTTTGTTTAATATCTGAAACCCTTTTCTGAGAAGTGACAATATTGGTAAGAGTTTGAGAGGATTAAAACTGACAAAGACTATTGTTTGATTTTTTCGGTCAATTATGACCATTTTAGTTACAAGTGACAAACCTCAACCTGAATTACATGATTAAAAAATAATCAAACCATATAAAAGGCTGGGATTGAACTTAACTGCCTCAGAAATGGTTGAATCTAGGGATTCAAAAGCTATTCTCTCTTTCTCTCTCTCATACACATGCACGCACACTCACACACACACACACACACACACATTCTGGTTCCTTCTTCGTGTCTATTGCTGTCATTCTCTCAGTCTAGCATTCTTGATAAATCTTAAGCCATTTGAATCCAAGCTTCAAGTTGACATTCATTCAGTCTTGTGACCCAAAAAGGAAGAGGGCTTTTCTTTTCCAGTTTTGCTGTGAAATAATCCAAAAAAAGGACTGCAATTGATTTAGTTCAAATCATATGCCTACCCCAGGAACAATCACTTTATCTGCAGAAGAGAGAGAAATATGATCATCCCATCTTAAGTCATACTTTCCCAGGAAGAGTGATTTGTTATTAGAAGAAGGGAGTTAAACATGGACCTGGGCACTGTTGGATTAACTGAGCTGGAGAGGCACCTCAATATCTATCTTATGGATTAGGGAAGTTTTCTATCTAGTTTCTCACTTAGATTATAAAGAAAGTCTTATTAATAAGTCTAAAAATGATTAATAATTACTTTTAAAAAGTTTTTTATTAAAGTAACGTATACATATAAAAAGTGCACAGTTCATAATTATATGGCTCAATACATTTTGATAAACTTAACCCATGAAACTAGAACTCAGGTAAGAAACAGAACATTCTAGAAGTCTCCTTTAAGCCCCAGTCTAGCTACCTAGGATATCCACTATTCTGACTTCTAATTGCATAGATTAGTCTTGTCCTTTTTTATCCCTTATATAACATTATGCACTATTTACCCTTTTGGGTCTGATTTCTTTCATGAGATAATGTATTTGTTAGATTCATATTATTGCACATAGGTAAAGATAGTTTATTCTCATCTATCCTATTATCGTGATGTTAATGGGTAGTTCTAATACTCTCCTTATAGGTCAATAATACATTCCATATATGTTGCATTAAGCATTTTTCTGATTTATAACTACATAGAAATAAACCATATGATTTTGGGTCTTTCCAATTTTGTATAATATTAAAGATTCCATAATGGGAACATACTATATTTCAATTTGTAAGTATAGCTTGAAAATGAGAAGTAGCATTATGAAGAAGTTGACATTATCCTAAAATTTACAGGGTAGTGTAAAGGGTCAAACACAGCCAAGATGTTCTTGAAGAACGAAGTGGGAAAACAGGTATAAAGAGACATATTAAAAAATGTAAGTTGACTGTGGTGCATTAATAAATTAATGGAACAGTATGGAGAGTCCAGAAACAGACTTAAACATGTCTGGACATTTGTTCTATGATAAGGGTAGCATTACAGATGAATGGAAAAATAACAGACAATTCATAAGTGGTCTAGTCAATTGGTCATCCATATGGGGAAAAATAAAACTGAATTCCTCACATCATACACAAAAGTCTACTTTAGTTGGACTAAGCACCTAAATGCTAAGAGGCTTTTAGAAGATAAAATAGAAGGGTACTTTTATAACTCGGGGGTAAGGGAATATTTCTTAAGTAATATTTCTTAAACCAGATACAAAAGCTTAATTTCAGAAGAGATTAAAAATTCAGCTACATTGAAATCAGTAACTTTTATATTCAACAAATCCCATTAAGATAGTGAAAAGACACAGCAAAATGTGGGAGAACATATTAGCAAAGAACTAATAAAAGGGTGTACAAAGAAATCCTACAGGTCTAGAAGAAAGCTAAAATATAAAAGAAAATGAACCAAAGACTTGCGAAGGTGCTCTAAAGAAAAAGGAAATTCAAATATCCAGTACAGAAGAAACATGTTCTGTATCTGTATCATCTATATCTACCTATATATATAAAGTTCCAAACTAAAATAATTTGGTTCTTTTTTACTTTTATTGAAATTTAATTGACATATAAAGTACACATATTTAAGGTGTAAAAATTGAGTGAGGTTTGACATATGAATACACTGTAAAATAGTCTTGACAGTCAAGATTACAAATATTTCTATCCCCCCCCCCCAAAAATGACAGAGTGACTTTGTAATCCATTCTCTTTATTCTGCCTCTTGTTCCGGTCCTCAGACAACCACTGGTCTGTATTCTGTCACTTTAAGTTACTTTTCATTTTTAGAATTTGTATGCATGAAATTGTAAAGAATATACTCTTTTGCGTCTGGCTTCATTTATTCAGTATGTTTTGAGATTCAACCATGCTGTTGCATGTAACAATAGTTCTTTTTATTGCTGAGTAGTATTTCGTTGTGTGAATATACTACATTTCTTTATCCATTCACCTGTTACCAGACTTTTGGATTGTTTCCAGTAAAGGACATGCTATACAGACAGGCCCAATGAGCTAGCATTTTGACTCTCAGTTACATATCTTAAGGGTACATTTTATGTATGCATCAAAATACATGTATAAGAATTTTTGTAGTAGCATCCCAGTTGGAAGCAACCCACATGCCCATCAATAGTAGAAAAGATAATAAATTGTGGTATATTATATAGAGTACTTCATTTCATATAGCAAAGAAAATTAAAGAACTATAACTATATATATCAGTGTAAATATTGCAAATATAATATTGACCAAAAGGATAAAGACATGAATGAATCTATACATTATAAATAGATTTGTATAAATCTCACAAAAGTTCTGAATAAAAGAGAGGAAATGATGGTAATTACCTTTCAAGGGTTTGGGGTTGTGATGAGTCAGGAGCTCACCTAGTGGTTCTGCAGCAGCTAAAAATGTCCTTTGTTTTGAACAGGGTGGTGGTAAAATGGATCTTTGCTTTATAATTATTTTTAAGTTCTACATTTGTATTTTATGTACTTTTCTGCATGCATTATATGTTTCATAATTAAGACAGAAAAAAATGAGAAGTGATATCATATACAAACATTAGAATTAGACAAAACTGGGTCTCTGCTACATAATATGTGAACTTTAAGAAGTCTTTCATTTTCCTGTCTTACAGATGATGGTAACACTTTATTCATAGATATGTTGTAAGAGCTAAATTAGATAATATATACAGCTAGATTATCAGTGCAGGCACTTAGAAACGCAGATGCTGATGGACATTGCCAATCTTGTATAACAACAAACTGATAAGTTACTATATCTCTCTATTGTAAATTTAACTTTATTGTAGTTGAAAACAAAGGTAAGACTTGGACTTTGATAGCTCATAAAAAAATGAAAGAGACCGAAAGCCAAATTATCAGAGTTTTTGCTTTTGGTTGTTTGCTATGCGATTTTTTTAAAAAAATATACCTTTGGCTTCAAGGGCATACTGTAACTCAAATTCAATTTGCTTTATAATAGCAAATAGAAACATATTAAATGGCTTGGTCACGTCTGCCCCCTACTGGTTAATTTACAAAGTGGAAAGGATGCTGAAGGTTGAATTTGGAAGCTTGAATAGAAAGTGCTGAGGTTTCTAATTCTTAAAAAAACCTATCACAACAGACAAATTTTCAAATGTGTAATTTTGTTAAAGG